GTGCCCCTATGTTTTTAATTTTTAATTTAAATCCAAGTTAGTTAACATATAGTGTAGTATTGGTTTGAGGAGTAGAATTCAGGGATTCATCACTTACATATAACACCCAGTGCTCATCCCAACAAGTGCCCTCGTTAATGCCCATTACCCATATAGCTCATGCCCTCCGCCCCACCTCCCCTCCAGAAACCCTCAGTTTGTTGTCTGTATTTAGGAGTCTCTTATGGTTTGTCTCCCTCTCTGTTTATGCATCCTTAAGCTGTTATCAAGAATTTCTCCTTTCATGAACAGTTTACAAGAATCACTTCAACAAAACTTATAGCTGCATATTCATTCACCTGTTCTCCTCCCTATACTAAATGAGTTCTTAGATGTGAAAATCCTACAAAGCACAAATACCTGTACAAATGTTTCATCCTTACTACCAACATGTATTTCAACCACTCCAAGATACATGTTGATTATTTGTGTGATGTCTGAGGCATAAAACGCCACCTAAGCATATGTCAAGTTGTTACTTGGCACCTATTTGGACCTTTCTCTATATTTTTCATTTTTTAGGTATTTGAAATGTACAGGAGGTTGCGAGTATGGACATGCAGAAAGCCTTTAAAAGGCCCTCAATTTTTGTTTATGTTGGTTACTAATCTTACATTGGGATTTTATTTCATTGTTGGACACAATCTGGATGGAGAACGGACAACAGTGAATAAACCACGGTATGTGGCCGGTGACAGAGACAAAAAAAAAAATAGAGCTGCATGCTGGAATCTTTTATTCATTGTGAGATAAGGAAATTTAACATCCAAAAAGATCAGGGCAGGGCTAGTTATGATAAACCCAGGACAAGAGCCCATCCTAGACTCATTTATTCAATAAACATTAAATGTTAAATTTAAGGTCTCCTCTAAAGTGCAAATAGCATTTGAACATTGGAGGAACGATTTGCTAGTGATATTAAACTTTAAATGGCACAGAGGTTATCACTTCTAGGAAAATTTTGCAGAAATAATCATAAAGTTATATGACCAAGGCCAGTCACAGGAACCATATTTGAAAAAAAAGGAGGAACCTGAAGTAACAATGTAACTATTCATCCACGGGTAAGAGGTCACTTAAATGCACAATGATAGATACATACAATGGAATGTGAAAAGCTTTTAAAAGGGTACATTACAAATCTATCTGCAAGGTATGAAAAGGTGACATGGCCATGCGATCAAAGGAAAAGATCTAGTTATAGGACAGGAAGTGTAAATGATGGCCCCATTTTTGTAAAGTAAGTACAGTTTAATTATGTACTGTTCTTTTTTTTATTTTTATTTTTTAATTTTTTTTAACATTTATTTATTATTGAGAGAGAGACAGAGCATGAGCAGGAGAGGGGCAGAGAGATGGGGAGGCACAGATTCCAAAGCAGGCTCCAGGCTCCGAGCTGTCAGCACAGAGCCCGACTCGGGGCCCGAACTCACAAACTGGGAGATCATGACCTGAGCCAAAGTCGGTCGCTCAACTGACTGAGCCACCCAGGTGCCCCTATGTACTGTTCTATATATAGGTTGGAAAAAAAGTCTGAAAGGACATACACTCAAGTGTTAAAGGGGATTTATCTCTGGGTTTGGAATCCCGGGGACCTTTCAATTTCTAAGTTTGTGTTTCTTTTACAATATGTAATTCTACTTCTGCAATCCATGAAGTACAACTTTTTAAATGCAAGGAATTCAAGCGACAAAGATATGTCAGATACTAGCAAAGCCCTGGAACAGGCTTCCAGCCCAGGTCAGATAGGGGCCCTGAGAGGAGCAAAAGGCCAAAGGTGGGACGCGTTGGGTGTGAGTGGGAAAAAAGGCAAGTGGTTCTGTGTTTAAGACTGAAGAGGCGAAAGAAAGGAAGGGCCAGCTAATGACTACCATGCCGTACCGGATGCTGAGGGCCTCCCTAGGGGCCAAGGGCTCTAGGCCCTGTGTGAGACCACAGACAACTCTGAAAACCTGATGAGCTGAGCTCCCTTTTGGCAGAGAGAGACTGACATCCATAAAAACGCACACTGAATTTACTTATAATCTCAGGAAGCTCACAAGCCACGGGAAACATATCTACAGACCCTCAGGTAGGAATGTCCAGGCAACAGAAACCGCAGTAGGGATTTTCAGCAGCGAGGTGAGCTAATCAGATTAGAAAGTTCTCTCTGGAGTACAGGGAGGATGGGAGAGCCATGAGACTGGAAGGAGGTGGGCAGCTTATCCTAAAATATGTGTGGCCAGAGAGTGAAGGGACTTGCGAGGTGGTGACGTTATGGTTAGAGACAGAGGTTTAACTCAGGCACTGGCTTGGGGTCCTCAGGTGAGCTTGTGAACCCTGGATGACTTCAGATTCCCTTCTGTAGAATGGGCCCGTCCAGGTTATCTCGCAGTTGCTAAGAGGATTGAAATCAGAGAGCTTTTGCATGTCATGCTATAGACAGCTTACCTACTTTCAAACCATGGTCACAAAGGGACTCTCTCTGGACCTTCAACCTGGCTCTGAGGGAGGGGATAATCCCAGTTCAGGTGACAGAATTGAAGGCATGGATGGGAAGCTGACCTACATCATGTTTTCCAGACTTGCAATAAGGAGAAAACTTGAGCCCCAAAGAAGGTGTCATCTGACTCCAAAAGCCAGGCATTTTTTCCAACCAAACATCGCTTCCCATGGAGAAAGTGGAGAAATGTCTGAAATATTACCTGTAACGTCAATGGCGTTGGCTGTTTTATTTTAAATCAACAACCATTAAGGAAAACCTGATAATTCCTGCTCCCAGTCTTAGGGCAGACCCTGAGGGAATGGACACACTTTAGCATTGTGTGGCCCTAATATACATGCTTTTGCCTTTTAACATAAACAGTGGCAGCGGGAAGGCCAGGTTTG